ATTATAGCTCAAAGTACAGGTAAATATCCGTGACTGCATGTGGACATAAGTCAATGATCACATGAATACATGGACAGCTCTCCTCTCCAGAGTTAGTCCAAATGACTTATGTAGATACCCCGCCCTGAAGGAGGTACAGCATAACTCCTCACCCATTAAGTGCGGGCTCACAGAGTGACTTTCTGACAGACTACAGCATAGAAAGAGGGGGAAAGGGTGACTTTACACTGGAGAAACTTGACAGATGTGACCTCAGCTAGGTGATCACAATGATGAGTCAGGTTGCTGGTGTGTACCCTTGATATGTCAGTGGAGTGCGTACCCTAGATATGATGTGATGATAGAGTAGCACGTACCTTCCACACGACGACGACAGTGGAGCATGTACCCCCCACATGGTGATGACAATGGCACTTTACCTTGTGCTATTCCTCCCAAAACTTTATAACCCCAAGAGTGAGATCATGAGAAAATTATCATGCAAACCTGAATTGAAGGACATGCTCCAGAATGCCTGCGCTGTGCTTCTCAAAACTGTCAAGGCCATCAGGAACAGGGCAGGTTTGAGAAGCTGTCCCATCTTCAGGAGCCTAAGGAGGCATGATGACTAAATGGGCCATCACAGGTGGGATCCTGGACTAGGGAATCCTAATAAGGGAATCCTAATAAGTGGGAACTTTAGTTAATAATAATTTATCAGTGTTGGCTCATTAGTTGTAATAAAAGTGCCATAATAACATAACCTCACGGGAAACCTGGGTAACACAGTGTATACAGGAACTGTTTTATCTTTGTAACTCTTTTTTTTTTTTTTTTATTTATTTTATTTGTCTTTTTCCGTGTCCGGCAACGGATCGCAACCCTCAGTGTCGCCCCCATACCGGACCGGGACCGGCAACGGGATCGCAACCCTCGGTGTTGCTCCCGCGCCTCGCTCAGCCAGTGAGCAGGAACCGGTCTGTATGTGGGATCCGAACCCTCGGGCGGGAGCGTCGCCGCGCTTCCCAAGCGGCGCACTATCCAGTGTGCCACCGGGCCGGCCCTATCTTTGTAACTCTTTTGCAAGTCTAAAATAAATATTTATTCAAAATATGTTTATTTAAATATGTTTAAAATCAACAGGAATTAAGATGGTACACTAAAATTATGTCTAACACAAATCTTACAGATTTTCACAAATTCTAAAAGTGTGAACATCCCTGCTTTTAGTATTTTAAGTTTTTATTTTAGATAATCGTGTAGTGATATTAATATCTGTAGTATGTATACTCCTTCAATGAGAAGTTTTGATTTAATTAATGAACAAAGTATAAGTTTTTGTTTCTGGCAGATGGATTGTTATCTTTTATTATAGGTAGTTTCCCTCTTGATTTCATTCATTTGAATTTTAGGAGTATGGATTTAGCAGTCTATTTGCTTGACAACACCGATCTTTGATTTTTCATGTGCACAAATTCCCCCATGAATAGGCTGGGAGGAAACTGTTCAACGTGTGATAAACATCACCTTTCATGGTGATGGCAGAAATGATCAGAACTTTCTGTGCTGCTCTTATAAGAACTGTCTATTTTGGGGCCGGCCCGGTGGCGCACTGCTACAGTGTGCTGCTTGGGAGCGCAGCGGCGCTCCCGCCGAGGGTTCAGATCCCACATACAGACCGGTTCCCGCTCACTGGCTGAGCGAGGTGCGGGAGCAACACCGAGGGTTGCGATCCCGTTGCCGGTCCCAGTCCGGTGAGGGCGCGACACTGAGGGTTGCAATCCGTTGCCGGACATGAAAAAAAAAAAAAAAGACAAAAAAAAAAAAAAGAACTGTCTATTTCTCAGTTCTGTCCTGTGGGTGACCCATGTGATCTGGTAGATAAATGTTTCAAGAAAAATGGAAGCTCGCTGCCTTACACTACACCCACCCACTGACCCGTGGACTGCTGATGCTGTTTGCTCATAGCCCTTACTTATCTTTGGTGGCATTTGGAGCCACGTTTGTTATAGTCTGTGAGTTTGTTATAGTGTCTGTGAGGACGGGGCCATGTGTGCCATGGTGTCCGTGAGGAGGGGGCTGCGTGTGCCATATTCCTTGTGGTGTCCCCGGCCTCCAGCATGTGGAAGCTGTCTGTGCTTCACCCAGTCCTCATGGTCTAACCCAAGTTGTCATATTTCAACATCTCTGCCCAAGGACCTTCTTTGGCATCTGGGCTCGTAGCAGAAATTCCAGAGGTGATGCCACAGGAATAACCCCTAACCTGTAAGGGGCAGAGAGGTCCTGCTGGGGACAGTTCCGAGTCTGTGCCACAGCCTCTCTAGGATTCCTCCCATGTGGCTGCCACTCCCATCACGTGAAGCTTCAACCTGTTGCTGGCCAGCCCATTCTTTGCATTTTTTCTTTTTCCATCTTACTTCCCCTGGTCTCAGGGACAGCTTTGGGAGGAACACACATGAAGACCGTATGTAATAAGTTTTTATTGAGTGAATTGATGTATTAGATGAGGAAGATCTTATCATTCAAAGAAATGATCATCCAAGGAGGGAAAGAATATTAGGAATACACACAATCACTATTAACAAGCTATATAGAGAGGAAAGTCACACTGGACGTCCTCCCTTCCCTTTCTGAGTTGGGGCTGGCTGCCTGCCTGCCTACACGACCTTGTGTGATCAGAACTTACCCTCTGCGAGCTCGTGGCTTTGAGGGTGGTTACCAGTCATTGCGTTCACCCAGAGGTCTCTGCACCAGACAGGGCCTAGGACATGGAGGCCCCGCAGTGTTTGTGGCGGGGCACAGTCATTGATGAGTCGGGAGCAGCAGGGTTCCTCAAGAAGAGCGGGTGGAGTCTGGGACATAGCTTCAAATCCCACTTGTGTCACTTCTTGCCTGACTTTGGGGCAAGTGACTTCACTTCTCTTAGCCTCAGTTTCATATGTAAAATGAAAAAATTAAGGCATATTCCTCAAGGTTGTTACATAAATTAAGTAATTTACTGTAATGCCTGGTCCATAGTGTGCACTGAGATGTCCACTTATGTGGAAAAGATGGCATTTGGGCTTGGGTTCAAATAGGACCTGAAGAAGTAGAGGAGAAGGATGTTTAAGTTAAAGCAAATGAGCAGGTGCAGGGAGGTGAGGTTGGCGACGGCAGGGAGCATAGCAGGGGGCACGTTGGCCTGGACGTGGAAACAGGAGGCAGGAGAATAAGCCAGACGTGGCAGTTCATGAGCGCCAGACACGGTGCCCGGACGTGGTTCCACAACAGGAGGGGAGACATCTGAGAGGGACTGTCCGGGGGTGACTGGAATGATGGAACTCTGAATTATGGATTACAGTACCCTGAAGGGAGGTCAGAATTGAGAATAGACTTGGGGGTGGCCCACATACTTTGTCATGAAATTGGCAAACTGGTCGGCGGTGGGGACTGCCCCAGCGGGAGATACAAAGGACAAGGCTCCTTTCCACAGCAAGGGACTTGGTTAGTATCCTGCTATCTAATACTTATTTTGCTAATTACTTACTGTATATGAGGGTATTTCAAAAAGTTGGTGGAAAATAGAAAGATAATACAAATCTTTCCACAAACTTTTTGAAGTATCCTCATAAACTAAAGGAATTTTTTTTCTTCCCAGTTATTTCCCAAGTCATCTAAATCTTCCTAAAATACACAGATCAGTGTGGGCTGAATGGAGCTTTGGGAGATAGTGTCATTCAGATCGAGCTGAACCATGAAGACAGGTGAGGGTTTAGGGAAAACAGGTCATTGTGGGGCAGGGAAGGAAGGCTAAGATCACAGCTTCGGAATCAGGAGGCATCGGGTTCCACAGCTTACTAGTGATGTCCTTGAGCCAAGGTCTAATGAAGGAGGAGTTAGCTGGACCCAGAAGAGATGGAAAAGTATTCCAGGCAGTGGAAGCAGTAGTCTAAGGCCCTGTGGTCGAGAGATTGTAGCATTTACAAAGGACTAAGAGAAAGCATTGCGGCTGAAGAAAATATTGGGGGGTCGGGGAGGCGTGTAATAGAGGAGGCTAGGGGGGTTGGGGGAGGGTGGCCAGACCTTGCAGGGCAGGGTCTTGTAGGTTACTTCGAGGATTTTGTCTTTTTTCTTAGGCATTTGGAAACCAGCAAAATGTTTTCATCAGAGGGGCGATGTGGTTAGATCTGCATCTGGCAAAATCTTTCTAGATGCGGTGTGGACAGCTGTTGAAGAGGCAAAGAGGCCAGTTACCTGTTTATTGTACCTAGGGGGGTGGCCGCAGAGGTAGAGAAACAGGTAGATTTAAGAGCGATTTGGGATATAAAGTCAACGGGACATTATGATAAACTGGTGAGGTAAGACGGTGACCAGGATGACTTCACGTTTCTGTGTAACTGGTTGGATGGTGGTGCTGTGCAGTTACTTGCTATAAACCCCATATACATTGCTCTTATTTTTTGTTTAAATTGTCAATTAACTTTTATAGAGATTTAAATAATAAAAAAGACATTTGTATATTTGTCCACATAGTTACTATTTTCAGTGCTCTCTGTTCCCTTGTGGGGATCCTTATTTCCTTACAGCATTTCTGTAAATAGTACTTTAAAAAAAAAATTAACTTCCAATTGTTCATTGCTAGTATATAAAAATACAATATCTTTGTGTCTGCTTTATTAATGCTATAGTCTGTGACCTTGCACAACTCCTCCTTTTCAGATCTAGGAACTTTTTCTAGATTCTTAGGTATTTTCCATGTAGAAAATCATATGCTGTGCAAATAAAGACAGTACTGCTTTTTCCTTTTCAACCTGTGTGACTTTCACTTTTTTCCTTGCCTTATTGCACCAGCTAGGACCTTCAGAACAGTGTTGAGTAGAATTAACAAGAGTGGACATCCTCGCCGTGTCCTTGATCCTACAGGGAAAACATTTCATATTATACCATTAAGTCTGTTAGTGGTAGGTTTTTCATACATGCTCTTCGTCCAGTTGAGGGAGTTCCTTATTATGACTTAAATTTTGCCTATTTTTTTCTTTTAGCAGTAGAAGACTCAGAAAGTGGCGTTTATATGAGATTCATGAGGTCACACAAGTGTTATGACATCGTTCCAACTAGTTCAAAGCTTGTTGTCTTCGACACTACATTACAAGTAAGTTTATCCAATTTTCGTGAATTTTTGGTATATTATTTGGATGGCTGCTTGATATGGTAATTTAAATCCAGCAATGCCAGCAGACATTTGTTGAGTCCTTTCTACTCTCAGACGCTGTACTGAGTTTTTGTCTGAATTCTCAATCTCCATGGCAACCTTACAAGGAATGTGCTATTACATCCTCTTTCTACAGATAAGAAAACACAAATTCTAGAGTTTAAGGACTTAATGCACAGAGCCATTGCGTGATGAGGTCTGGAATTTGAACACAGGCCTGTCTAACATATGTTAGAGCTTAAGCTATGAACTGTTAAGTGTACTGCTTCCCTCAGTATATCCTTTCTTGGTGGTCTTTCTTGGTTATTTAATAGAATATATGATAAGTAGATTTGAAATAATATTGATTATAAAGACAAAGATTACTAAAATGGATAATCTCTTGAGAGAGAACTTTATTGATCTCTTTTAGCAGAAAATTTGAACCTGATCATTTTGGTATTAAAATTGTGCTTATTGCAGTTCATTTTATATCAATATGACTTATAATCACATACAGAAAGTCCTAAATAAGACACTCAATGTAATGATCAAACTAAAGTGGTTTATGAAGGGTGTGCTCCCGTGAGAAACCAGGGATTGCAGGAAGGACAGGGCAGGGGAGGAAGCCCAGCAAGGGCATATCAACAAAGCCCTGCGGGGGGCGGCCTCAACCTGAGCCCTCGGAACCGGGCTGTAAGGTGCCCCAGAGAGTTTATCCCAACCTCCTCCAAACTCCTGCATTAGTTGGTCCGCCCTGGACTGTCCTGGGAGATGCTCACTTAAGGTCTCCCAGCTCCACCCTGGCCCCTGGCACCTCTCCCAGGTCCCTTCCCCAGCTGCGGTCCTTCTCCCAGCTGTAGTCTCCTTTGCTCCCATGCACATGTACCTGCAGTTCTTCTTGAAGGACTCTCCAGCTCTTGGAGCCACTTTGCCTGAGTTCTGTGACTGCCACACAGGACCTACAGGAAGATAAAAATGGTTTTGCTTTTGTTTAATTTTATTTTCCAGTTGTTTCTTGTTAGCATGTGAAAACACAAGTGATTTTTATAAATTGGCTGTATGTCCTGTGACTTTGCTAAATTCTCTTTGGACCAGGTAACATCCAGGGTCCCTTTGAAAATCCTAAGATCCTCTGACCCTCTGAAACAAAGAAGACAGGGAAGCTTCCAAATATGAGTGTAGTGGCAAGAGTAGAAGACAGAAATCTTAAGAGACGTGGTCTCTGTGACTAACTACAAATTTCAATAGCAAAATAACTAGAAATTCTCACTTCCCAAAATAAAGGGACCACGAGTTCCACCCATTTCACTCTCACCACCCCGCCCCCCACAAGGCCTCCTTTCTGGGGTGCCAGATCTCCTGACTGTCAGTGTTTCCACCACAGAAAAATAAGTGACAGCTGATCTGACTTTCACCCACTTGGCTTTTCCCTTACCATGCAAGTGACTTTGTTTTGAACTTGGAATTTCGCCAAAATGAGTACAGGTTGAGCATCCCTAATCTGAAGATGCAAAATCCGAAATGCTCCAAAATCTGAAACTTTCTGGATGCTGACATGACTATCAAAGGAAACTTGACTCTGCCCGCTGCAGGGTGGTCGTTTGCCACCGTCCTCCAGTGCTGCTGTGTGCGGTGCCAGCCAGCCGGGCCACAGGAGATGCTTCTGTGAACCCAGCCCAGCTTTTCCCCATCGGTCAGCAGTTAGTGAAGAGCTCCCCCGAGACTGTGGAGGGAGGGTGGGGGTGTCACGGCCCGGGATCACAGCAGCTTGAGTCACCTGCTCGTGCGGCTTCCTTGTGCATGGACACCTGGGCCAGCTGTGTCCCTACCTGCCAGTAGATTGCTGCTGCAACACCCCTGGTGTTTTGGCTTGGTGGGTCAGATAACGCCACCCTTGTGGTGGGAGCTCAGGCTGTGTGGTCTCCGGGCATCTCACTTCCTACCAGGGCTGGAAGTGAAGCCAGGAACTGTTTCCCAAAAGGAAAATAATTATCTCCAGGAGAGGACATGGTTGTTTTGGTGTTCTTTCCCCCAAACCCTCAGTGTTGGCCCTGTGAACTTCCTGTCAATGGAGGTTTCATGCAGCATCCCTAGTATTGACCTTGCTGGGTCATAAGGCCCACGCGGAAGAGCAGCTGGGACTTGCCGTGCAGCCTGATCCTGCTCTGGTCCCCTCTGAAAACAGCTTGTAGAGTCGCTCAGTACACGTGGCAGAGCGGCACACACAGATGTAGTATGTGTTGCCTCCAGAAGGACTTTCAAGTGTTGTGTGAGTAGCAAGTGGTACAGGGAGCAGCAACTTGAATTTCACCTTGGAGGGTTGCTCTGATGCTACAGGCCATTCTGAGGTGTCAGGCCCCTGAGATGTGTGGCTATGTCCCTCAGCATCTGCAGCTCTGCTGCTTCCTGCCCATCAGACCCAGCCAGCACATGCCCCCAGCATAGCAGCCAGTGTGGCACCGTGCAGGGTGTGGAGCTGATCAGCTTCTCTGCAGACCACAATAGGGCAGAGAGCTGGGGAGTCGCATAGGCTGAGCCACACCACTGAGAGCGTACGTTGCCAGGTAGAGCAAACAGTCAGGGTTTCTGTAAGTTGGTGTGGAGAAAAAGGGTATGTGTCCAGGTGACAGCTTCAGGTTCCCCAAAATGCTACCTCGGGAGTGTCCTTGATCCACAGTACTGACAAGTTTACCGTAATCTGCAGTCGCAGGCCAGATGGGCAGTGTCTCTGAGACTGTGATGGTGAACCGCCTGGCTCTCTCAGGTCCTTCGATGGGGCACCAACCTCTGCATTCCCCCAGGTGCTCTGCTGTGTGTGGTTTGCTAGCCTGGTGGCAAGAGGACATGTCAGAGGCTTCCTCCTTGGCCCTTCCCTCCACAGCATTTCTTACTCTGTGCGTCACAGCCTGGAGAGGGGATCTGCCAGTTGTCAGGCCCGTTGGTTCCAGTTATACCCTGTGGGTCAGAACATTCTAATTATCACTCCTTCCTGGTCACCCTTGTGAGTCCACGTGCCTGCCCTGTCACTGGTGGAAGCCCCAGCACTTGCCCTCTGCTGCTGGGCAATGTCTGCAGAGTACGAAGCCATTCCAGACGCCATCTCCTGCCATGGCCTGGCCTGCAGAGCACAGCCAGCGTGGAGCGTTGCAGAAGGGATCCCCTAACTCAGATATTCCTCAAGAGTTCTGTGGCGGCATCCTCTGGGGGCTGAGTGTGAAGGTTGCACGTGAGTCTGTGCCAGCGCCCCTGCCTCCCTGAGCCGGTGGATTCTCTTGCTCACTGTGCCACGGTCCTGGCTTCTCAGCCTCACTGACAGCATGGCCCTACAGTGCCCTGCCTTTCAGCCAGTCAGCCTGGTAAGCGGCCAGAGCCACTTCTGGCAGCGTGCACTAAATGTTAAATGAACAGTTTCTGGTAAATCCACTTGTAGCAATAAATTCCACCAAATCGGTGTTAAATTTCTCCTCTTTTGCCTAATATTATTAGAACCTATTCCCACACATACTTCCCGGGTTTCTGCACTTATAAAATAGCAAGAGCTTACAGTTCTTTCTGTGTGTAAGCTGTTTCCTCCTCCTTGCTGTGCTGAAACCTGTCCCCAGTTACAGGTCAAGGGCCAGCCAGGGGCTGTCTTGAGGAGAGTGAGTGACCTGTAGGAGGCATCAGCCCAGGAAAGCTTGTTACCAGCTTCCAAGCAAAGAAAAGTGATTCTCAGACACTCGAGAGAGCCGTTTCCACTGCCACAGGAGGCTCAGAGTAACTCTGGGATTCAGGAATCAACTCTTTGTCTGAGTCCAACCAAATGTCCCTGTGCCAGGTACAAAGGTCCCACTCCTTCCAAATCAGTGCCCGGCTTTCATATCAGAGATGTGGTGAGGCTGTGAATTGAACTGGAACATCTGCCTCCCGCAGAATTACATTTTGTGTTTGATTTTGGAAACATCAGCCTTGTAGCTACAAGAAGTGAGAGTCCTTTAGGGCTATCATAGAAGCTCTTCAGTCCTCTGACTGTGACTGGATCCACAACCTGAGCTAGTCATTTCTCTGTGAGGGCTCCAGCACACACCAGGTGCTGTGGTCCTCGGTACTGCCTGGAAGGCCGATGCAGCAGCCCCTTCAGCCTCAGCGCCCAGTGACTCCCGGGGGTGTCGTCACAGTCACAGATGATGGTTTGTTTAGCCACGATGCCACAGCTTGCTCTGGATTATGGGAATCAGATTTCCCATTGACAAAGAGCTCAGCACTGTGTTCAAGCCCAAGGACATGAAACCAATCCCAAATCCTGTGTTTCCAGGAACTGCTCCCAGTGTTAATTTCTCTATCAGTCAGAGTCCATTCAGGAGACAGAAGCCATACCAATTGTTTGAACAGTAAATCAACATAATCAGATGTTAACTGGGTAACTAAAAGGGTAAATGAAGACCTCTAAGACAGTGTTCTCAAAGTCTGGTTCCCAGACCAGCAGCTTCAACATAAACTAGGAATTTACAAAACTGCAGATTATCAGGCCCATCTCAGACCTGCTGCTGAATCAGAGACTTAGGGGTGAAGCCCAGCGATCCATGTTTTCCCACGACTCGGAGTTACTCTAATGCATCTAAGGTTTCAAAACCACAGATCTATGATGTCATGGAGGTAGGAAGGGCCCTGGGGCATGCCTTCTGGCTGGGGCTTGTGTATCTGGGTGGAAATGGGGTCTTGAGGAAGCTTCTTCTGTACATAATGGGAAGAGGACGGACTGGATTTAGCTGCTGCTACCAGAAGGAAACAGGTGCCAGGTAAAGCAGTGTAAGGGTGAAGCTCAGAGGAACGGCAGCAGACAGGAAGCCCACAGGGAGTAAACAGGAAATCCGTAGGCAACGGACAGGAAGAAGCAGGTACCTTCTTCGTGTTCCAGTTCTGAGTCCCTTGCTTGCCTCCATTGTTGTTGGACCCTGAAGTAGAGCAGGCTGGCGATG